CCAGCTCTTTGCCCACAGTCTGTCTGTCGTCTTGTGTTTTCTCAGTGGAGGGAACATTCCTTTGGCTAAGAGACTCCTGGAAGTTGCTCTTGACATTGTTTCCCTCGTCTCTCTTTCAATCAGCTGCGAAGTCTTCTTACCCAGTGTACTGCTCTGTGGCCTGTCCACTTCCTCCCACCCCAGGGCCCGCTCCCTGAGTTCAGATCACCACGGATCACCCCCTGGATTACTCAGTGGTCCTTGCTGGGATCCCAGCCTCTGGTTTACTTCCTTCCCTCCAGTCTGTTCGTCAAGCAGTAGCCAGAGTGATTCTCCTAAAATGCAAATCTGGTCAAGCCATTCTCCTTTTTAAAATTCAATGGCCCCCCACTTTTCCCCAGTCCTTAAAATCTCACTGCTGTTAACTCTATTCTCACTTGTTTCTCATTACTTTCCCAGCTAAACTCTCATTTCAACCCTACTAACTTTTCAGTTCCTTCAAACTCCCGGGCGCCTGCCTTCCTGTTTTTACATGCGGTCCGTTCCCTGGAAGGTCTTCTTTCCACCCTGCCCCACCCGAGGCGTAATTCCTCCCCCTCGGGAGCAGCCTTTGTCCAGGGAGCCACCTCGGCGCTCACTTAGGCTGTTACTCCTCCCAAGGGTGTTCTTGTGCCTTTTCTCCGGGTCATGACATCCATCATACTGCCTTTAGCCCCCAAACGAACGAGCAACACATAATGATAGGAAAGGATGAGAAAAGCCAACATCACACAATAATCCTAATTTCATGGCACTCTGAATTTCCTGTGCACATTATATATGGACACTGTACATTTAGTTTTATAAGTTGGGTTTTCAACTGCACCACCTATTCTACACATCTTTATAAATGGTATTCTTGTGTTTCAGTGTACAATGTGCACCATTTAGGTAATCCCATTATTATTTGGCATTTAGGCTGTTTCCATTTTCCCAGTATTTCAGATACTGTTGCAATGAATGCTCTTATCCATGCACCCTTTATACCTAACCAGTTATTTCTGAAGAAATACACTTATAAGAGTATCTCTAAGGTTGGCATCAAATTATACTTGTTATTGCCTTTTCCACAATCATGAAAATACTCATTTTATACATCTTTTCAACCCGATCAGCAAAAGAAAAATCTATTTTTGACAACTTTCGCCTGATTACTAAAAAGTTCAGCATCTTCACGTTTACTGAAACTTTTTCTGGGTCAAATTCTTCGCCCAATTTTCTATTGTCAGGTTCCCTGGAAACAGCACTTGAAATGAGGATTCTTGTGGTTTATTGACAATAAATGAGGGTAACAGGACGGGGCAGGAGACAAAAAGAAGCAAAGATGTGGCTTCAAGAGAAGTCTCTCTTCAGCCTAATCCCAGGGAGCTCAGGAGCATAAATGCACAGGTGGGAACAAAACTTGCCAGGCATCTCTGAGTAAGGCGACATCCACCATCCAGGACAATCCTCCGGAGGAGAGTGGAGATAAACAATTTATTCCCACCACCTGAAGTAGATGAGGTCTGGGAACGCCAGCCTGATAAAAGGGATCTGGACGAACACTAATGGCATTGGGCATGTTGGATATGTTTTTTAAAAAGTTTCTTAAAAGATAAGCATGCTAAACCTCTCTGGAATATGCACTGTAAATATACTTTCCTGGTTGTGCTTTTCTAACATATATTTTGTTGTTGTTAATCATCACCCAAGGATATTTTTTCCATTGAATTTTTAGAGAGTGGAAGGGAGGGGTGGGGAAAGATCAATGTGAGACAGACACATCGATTGGTTGCCTCCTGCATGCACCCTGACCCAGGACAGGATTGAATCTGCAACCCAGGTACATGCCCTTGACCGGAAATCAAATCCGAGACCCTTTGGTGGGCAGGCCGATGCTCTAACCACTGAGCCACACCAGCCAGGGCCTAAAGATATCTTCATAGAGACAAAACAAACAACCTTCTGCTTTAATGACCACTTTTAGGTCTTTTCTAATCCAAACTTAATTTTAAATTTACTTACATTTTTCTCTAGTATTTTACAAGTTTTTTTAAAAAATTACATCTTTAATCCACCAGTATTTACTATGTGTGTGTGTATGGGTAGGAGGTAAGAATTAGGCTTGTTTGTCCCCCATAAATGACAGAATGATAGCTGATAGTAGGTACATTGTACAATATTAATCTACTAAACCCTTGCAATAATGCCACAGGTAGGGAGGAGATGAAGTGAAGCAAGATTGGTTATGTAATTTGCCCAAGGTCACGGGTGGTAAGTACTAGTGAGCTGGCATTTTAACGCAGGCAGTGCCTTTAGTCTGCACTTAACTGGTAGCTGTACCACATTTCCCACGTGGGTAACCAGTTGTTCCAGCACCTCTTACTAAACAATCCATCACTTCTTCTAACTGGATGGTTCTGGGCTTTCATTAATCTGTAAGAATTTCTGCACCAAAATTATATACTTTTAATTACTAGCATTGTTGTCCTCTGTAATATCGAGGCGTACAAGTCCCTCCCATTGTTCTACAAAATTTCCTAGCTGTTCTCATGTTTATTCTTTCAAAACACCAAGTCTAAAAACCACGCACACACACAAGCAAACAAAAACATACAAATTGTTTGGGTTCTGTTAAATTCACAGATTTAGGGGAGAATTTGATGTATAATGTCTCCCTCCACGTAGTCCAGTCTTCCTTTAGTTTCCCTTATCTTCACTTGTTTTCTTCATAGAGGTTCAATACATTTCTTGGTAATTTATGTCTTTATGAATACAGTCACCTTTTAAAATGGTATTTTATATTAAAACTATGGTGTTTTAATGAAAACTATTAGCTTTTGTGTATTTATTTTATAACTGAACTCTCTGCTGAACTTCTACTAAATGTATGGTCATCCTGCTGCAACTGAATCAGTAATGGCTCATGTTCTAGCAAAAGTACACCACAGAAGGAAACCCGCTGGCGCCATTCGCTGGTGACCGACCATCGCGCCCTATCAATTTGAACAATGAGATAAGCATGTGTTCATAAATAGAAAGCAGGCACAACTGCAAATGTATGACATGTTTGTAAACTAAAACCCACCTGTATTTCCAATCTTTTCTCAGTTGCTTCTGTTTTTCAAGATAGTCACATCTGCAATAACCTTACCTCATTTTTAATATAACATTAAAGTCCTCTGGTGCAACCGGGACGCGCACGCATGCACACACATACCAAGTTGGCTGAAAAGTCCATTAAGGTGTGGATGCACTGAGAGAGCCACAGAGGTCTTTCTTGAGTTCCAGTCTCTTTAAAGAAAGAGAAAGTAAGACTCGAGTGAAGCAATCCAAGTGCAGAATTTTTGCTGGATCTCCCCCAAATCTCAGTTATCTTGCTCACACCTTCATTGACACACCTTCTTTTTTAATGACTCCTCTTTTTCAAACCTTTCAAGAACATCAACTTTAGTTTTCGTGGAAAATCTTCTTTGCCCCCCATAGTTCATCAGTTCTCATAACTGTTAACAAACTTATATAATCTGACAATGCTAAATACAATGACATGAAGACTTGAGCATAAACACAAAACTAACTTTCGGTGAATCCAAGCGGGTGTAGGCGGAAGTGCACTGTCACTCAAATGGCAGGCTCCTGGTGAGTGGGTTCAGTTGCAGAGGCCACCAGCTGAATGGGGTAGGCTGACCCATCAAACTGCGCAAGTGGGAGTCAGTCCAATGCTTTATTTTAGAACCATCATGGTTAATATATACAATATACAAATACATATGAACATATATATGTGCGCATGTGTGAAACAGTCTTCTATTTCTATTTTGCCAAAGGTTTTTATTGTTGCTTAAAGTCTGGACTAGATTTTAAATTTTATCAAACGTTTTGCTGGCATCTATTAAGATGATTCTGATTTTTCTCACTTGACCTATTAATATTATATAGTACATTAAAAAGGACCGAAATATTCTTAGATTCCTAGAGTAAGTCTCACTTGTCATGGTATACTCTGTTTTGACGGTTTCCCTTTACTGATATTTTAAGAATCTCTATTCATAAAGACCCCTGCTGTTGAAATGATCTCTTCTCTGGCTCTCTCCTTTTTCTCAGTTAAAGAATTATTTATATTAATAGAGCAAAAATGCAGACATTTGAAAAAAAAGCTACTTCTACCTAATATAATAATCCTGCTCTTAATTGTTTTGATATTCTTAATATAACTGTTAGGAAAAAATCAACATTAGGTTTTCAGGGGCTTCCAAGTGAAAGGGGAGAATCCTATTTCATAGACATCGTGGAGGTGAGACACCAAAGAGGAGGCCAAGTGTGACTTCAGGTGCACTGCCCTCTCCTCCCACCGATTTTATAGCAAGTCCTTTTAGAAAGAACTTTGACTTGATGAATAGAATAAAAGAGAGGCTTAAAACAAGAATAGATACACTAAAAGCCAATCTCTTAATATGTCTTAATAGTCCAAAAAAATAATCACTTTTTCAGTAGTAAGGTTAAGAAAATAATGTATATCAGGTAACACAGAAAAGCTTTAAATGAACAAAAAACATTTTTAAAGAGTCTCTTGAAATATCGACACATCTTCTAATTTAATTATACCTGCCGTTTTATCACTTATGCAAAGAATATAAACTAGACTCTGTTTTTCTCTTATATCTAAATTCATTAAGCTCAGTCTTTTAAATGTTTCACTAGGTTTTGTTTGTTAGTTTAAAGGCTTGCATATAAAATTGTTTTTATAGACTGCTGATTTCTAGCTCCATGTGGAAACAGCAAATCGTACACAGGTTTTATTTCTGTTGTGGCTGATGGACTATAAAAGGGAAGGAGGGAGTGTTGACGAAGACTGGGAGATCTTTTCAGTCCTCACACTTGGCTTTTTTGCAAGCTGGAAGAGAATCATCATTTCCTTCTGATGGCCGAGGCTTCTTCACTGTGGAAATAATTCCAAAAGCAGTTTTCCTAGTTTCTATAAAACAAAGAAGAAAACCACAGTGCTTGAAGTTAAGACACGATTTAAAGAGGTAGTTGAACAAGTATCGCCATGTAGCTTTGACTTACAGCACCAGAAAATGATAAAACCACCATGAAATACGGAGTGCTGATGACATTTACTGTTATTACCCTTCCCCTGCCCCAAATACACAAATATCAGTGTATTACTAACATCTAGTTCATTCCTAAGGATTACGTCAAGGGTAAAGCTGTAGGGCAGGATATTCCTACTGTTTGTCCATGGCACCTTATACAACCAGGAACCAAGTTGTAGGCCCCAGTGCAGCAGATGCTTTATGTATGGGAGGAAGATGGATGAATCACAACAGCCAGTACAACAGTCAAATGGATAGCTTAGCTCCTATAAAAGCCGAGCTTTACATATATTCTATGTTAAGTAGTTAAGTTTTTTTTTAAGTCAAATGCAGAATTTGACTCAAAATTCATATTTTCCCTATTACATTTTTTTTAAAGTTTCCCTTTCTTGTCAGCACAAATTGTTACCCAAACTCTTTGATGATTCCTTACATTCATTTAAAATAGACAAAAATAATGGCAGAACTAACAAAGTGTGAACCAACTATTCCCTAATTTCAAGAAAATTTCGATAAAATCCTGATTAATCTGGTCATTTCCAGAGCTTAATGTGATGGGGGTTTAGGCTATATAATACAACAATCTCAAACTAATTATTTTGAAACTAAAAGCAAAATCATTTAATTCGTGGTAAGTCCATACAGTAACCAATTCTCGCAATGGAAACCAGGTCACTAAAATCCAGACAGGACACACAAGACTTCCGTAACTTAACTAGTATTTGTAGGCCAAATACCTTTGTCTATATGTAGCAACCTAGTCTGGAGTTTAAAATTCCTCTGGGTGGTATCAAGTAAATTACTTCTTGACCACTACCACTAGTGCCAAAAATTTCAAAGAGAATGAAGATAAAACAGAAAAGTGTAAATTAAAAAAAACAACAAATCTCATCTTCATTCTCCAAAAGCTGAGCCTATCTATACTGCTAATTCCACTTTTATCATCTGATGAATAAGAAATTCAAAGGCTTCTAGTAGTGGAATTAATGTGAAAAGGAACATCTACGTAAATGATATGTGAGTAAAAAATGTATAGTCTACACATACTTGGTCATGTGAACACAAAATGAAAAAAGAATCACAAGCTGTAATAAATGTGAAAAGTTACAATTTGAGTTGTCAGTTCGGTTTTTACAACGCCTTTGTTGTTTCTGTGTTCTTAATAAATGGTGTAACACATATTGTGAACATTTCAGTTCTTTATGACAATGACTTTCAGGAGGGAAAGCACGCCCCCATGAAGAGGAGGAGGGAGAAAGGAAGAGGAGAAGCCCATCAAAATACAGGCAGGGACACACATGCAGAGCTTGAGAGGATGCACTCAGTACTCATTTCTGTATACAAACTATTCATTCCACAACTACAGAAAGTAAAGCCTGAAGCGAAGGATGAGAAAGCACTGCTGGGTACGGTTAAAACAGGTTGAGAAAAGACAACCCTAAAGGAACTCTGCAGGGCAGGATAATACAAGTAGATGTGGCTCAATTGTCTGGTAAAAATGACTGGCTCCTAAGATGACCACTGGATGTTTATTTTGGAAGAACCTGCTCACCTCCGTGAAGGAGCGCGGCTCGGCAGTTGGTGGACACCGCAGCCTTGGCATCACTTTCTGAGAGCCCAAACAACAGCCCCCTGCGGGTGGTTAAGGACTTCAACCGAGTCAGCCAAGGACACGAGACAAACACAAACATAACGGACAATACCAGCTTACCTGGTCATGCTGAGATGCTTTACTTCTACCCAGTTCTTAGCCCAAATGGAACAAGCATTTGAGAAGGGGCTCATTTATCTCTAAACTTTTTAAATACAGCTCTTCATTCTTGTTCTTTTTCTAGCTCACCCTTAGTCCAGGAAACAAAAGGACAATGCTACCTAGAGCCTGGTGTAATTTGTTTTTGAAACTATTAATTGGTAAACTTATAGTAAAAGGTTAAGAAAAATATCTTGTTATAGTGTATCATTTCAAATACCAAATTTCCTGAAAGAAAATTTCAGTAACTTCTTGCTCAGAAAAGGATACAAGGTTGCCACATCATATGGCCCTCTTATTTCTAAAGGCTAAAATAAAACGAACAACAGAAATGAGAGAAGGTATTCATAACATTTTAAGGACTTCACCTGCAGTCAATTAATAGGATGGTTAAGTGTCCAAAAATAAACAAGTCAGGTGCATAAATTTAAGTCCTTATAATTTCGATTATTTTCTTAGGCTTTTGAAAATATAAAAGAACCTTAAAAAGCATCCTGCAACAGTATAAAGAAAAAAACTATTTATATAAACAAAACTTGGAGCCCAAAAGGAATGGGGATACATTTTACTCTTCAGCAATTACAATGAGCAAATACAGTTAAAAATCAAAACATGCAATAAATGTTTGTTATATTATTATTTTAATTTCTCCCCCTAGAAACTTTTCAAAGTTTTATAGCTTGAAAAGCAAAAACAAAGTACTTAATGGCAGACTTACCCTTTCTGCAGCACTAGATATAATTACATTCTATAAAACAGAAAGCGATCAATATTAATCTTAGATGTTAAAAAAGATTGAAGAGTCTTATAATACAAATAACCAGTAATCACATTTTAACATTTAAGCCTCTATAAATACCAACTGCTTTTCAAGATAAAGTAAATAATTAAAGTGAAAGAATGAAAAGCCCTCCTGTCAAACTAAAGGCAGCTTATAATAAGCAGCAGAATAGGCCTTCTCAGCACATCTTAGAAAAGATGAATTAGTTTTAAAAACTAGTTGAAAAGGTCATATAACCTAAATTCAAATCACTGATGACAAACAATTATTGTCCAGACTGTTCTTTTCACAGTGGCTAACTTGCAAATTCCTTATTGAAAGGCACAGGCTTTCAACACATCTTTCCCTCCTCACATTATTATTCTCAGTATTTTTCTTCCCTTTAAAACTTGCATAGCTCATTGAAATGGGAGAATTTGCTCCTGTGCCTTGAGAACTTGCTGTTTTAAAGAAAAGGGATCAGTTTGATAATCTAGTGGATTGATAAGAATAAATTGCTAGATTTGAAAAATATCCAAAAATTAGGACACCATACCTTTCCTTTGCAGACCTGCATCAAATTGAGGGCATTGGAAATTGTGTACCTTCTCATTGTGGAGTCTTTGATAGCGGGGCTGTAGACAAGTTCAAAGCCCACACCTCGGTCGATTGCCTTCACAGGAAAAAAAAACCTGTCAAGGATAAACACACACTGCCCTACTCTATTTTCACTAGTTCCCTCTCACCTCGCTCCTCACCCCCACTGCCCACCTCTTGCATGTCGAAGTACAGCCTTAAACAAAGGTGGATTTATGTCCAAGTAGCACCATCCACAAAAGAAAACAGATCTGTGTCTATTTGATCCACAGAGTTTATCTTAACTGTGGGGAGGCTGACTTTACATAAACAGGAATCATCAGAGGCTATGGGGAGTAAGGTCCCAGTGGGGTGGCAAAAGGCTGTTATTCCCTAAACTACCAAAAGGAAAAGAGGTGTGCTCCCTATACCTAGGGTAAACTGCCTGCAAACACAGTAAACCAACTAATTTGACCCAAAAATGAAGAAACAAAGAAATCAAGAGCTGAAAAATTTCCGAAGAACAGGGGTGGGAAGGCCTCTAGGGCAAGCCATTTATTGTATACATGTTGAACGAGGGGGGACAAATAGCCATGGCCGAGTGTCTTATGTCAGGTGCTATGCTAAGAGTCCTCTGTATGTATTTAACCCTTATAATACTTTTCTAAGGAATTATGGTAGAGACTGCTAATTGCCCCTGATATCTGTTCTCCCACTTTTCTTTACTAACAGAGCTCATGGATGCCCAACAAAAAAGATGGAAGAAGGTTGGGCCCTTGACAATTTCGCCTAGCTCACCATGCACTTGGCCTTTTAGATGAGAAAAAAAGAAACTTCTTATTGTGAATAGGAGGCATCCACAGGTAAGACCACACATAAGACAATAGCCTGGAAGTGGTGGAATGACATTGAAACCCACCACTATACTATTCAGCTTTCCTCTTCACCCATTCACAACAGATATGTTTTAAGCCAACTATGCACGAGAATGTTGAGAAAAAGCTGACATGGTTCCTCTCTTCTAAGAACTTAGTTTAGTGGGGGAGATCATCCAATAATCACACAAAAATACAAAACTTCACCTGTGATAAGTGCTACCAAGGAGAAGTTTGGGGATGGGTGAGGAAGGAGCATTTACAGAGGGAGGGAGAAGTATGTGGAAGGGCTCTGGGGTTGGAGAGAGCACGGTAACACACAGAGGTCATGGGCCGGGGGACAAAGAAAAAGGGGGAGCCTTGTGGTAAAAGTGGGGGGCTAAAAAGATGGAAAGGGCTAACTGTGCAGGTCTTTAGGACTGGTGACAGGATAATCTTCTAAGAGTAATGGGAAGCAGCTAAGGTCTTCAGCATGAAAGAGATGACTCCCCAATGGCAGTCACTAGGTTACAGGTCTTCTGAATGAACCAAGGAAGGAAGGTGGGCACAGATCAGGTGGTATGGTTCAAGTCTCCGCCTATGAGCTTCTACTACCCAGAGGAGGAATTGGGACTGTTCCAGATGTAACTGCTGGAGGTCTACTCCAGAGTGTGTACAGGGAATGGAAAAACCTGTCTCCTTGCAGAACTGGCAGCCCGCCTTGACTTAATTCAGGTGCACCTGGCAGGCTCCTTCTACTTACCCTCCCTGAACACAGGTTTCCGTTTTCACACCCCACAATCTTCCCTTTCCTTCATTTTTCTTGCTGTCTCGAGGCTCCCAGATTTTATTTTGGATTTTCCTACATATCTGATATTAGATTTTACATGCTATTTTCCACACTGTAACTCCCCCTCTCCTCCTTTCAGGTGACTTTTCCCCACCTCTAATTCTTTGGCTTGTGTTGATTGTTTCTGGGAATGATTTGTATTCTGAAGCTCTCTGTGCCACTGTTAAATGCACACCTACCCTGTACACCTTGACAGCTGGTATAATACTTCTTTGTAACTCATAACTACCCTTTATACAAGTGTTTAATATATTTATATTCTAAGAAAATTTATTGTAGCTTATGGAAAAGAGGTCATGTGATAATGCTGTTTACTATGGATGATCCATTTTAAAAGAAACCAGGATGAACCTGGCAAACTGAAATTCATAAACCAAAACACCTCTGTCAGCCAATTACACTAACCCAGCCTTTTCTCTTACCAAAAGTACTAGTTAGCCAAAGAAGCTGCCATATTTCCCTTTCTCATCATTCTAGTTGCTGAACTAAGACCAGGAGGCGGTACAGTAGGTCGGAGAAGAGGGGAAACAAAAGATGTGAATGACACTCAGACTAGACGACCAGGTCCCTATGTATTCTTAATTGAACCTAAAATTTTACCCCCACCCCCACCATGGGGACCAGATAAAAATAAAACTCTATTTTTTGGAGGGGGGAGAGGGGAGAAAAAGGAACATAATAATCAGCTTATTTTCTAAGAAAAAAAGTTCTGATTTTTGATCTTAGTATATCAATCAAGTTGACTTCAAAATTGCTAACAAAACTGAGACAGAGAAATTAAAGATAATGCGCTACTGAACATTTCTTTCGTAACACCTTATTTTAAATTTTTAGGTAGACTACAGACTCATTACCTGGGCTCTTGCTTCTAAGACCATTTTAATGAAAATTGCCTTAAGCTCATCAAATGATTGCTCGTAACAACCTTTTCATAAAGAATGCCAGTGCCTGCCTGATTGGCGTTTGTTCGATTCTCGGACCAAAGGTTCTGAAATAGGGGGATTTCTTTACTGATGAGAAATAAGTCATAACGACGCTACAAACCAAGGGCAAGTGTGTGATACTTGAATCAAGAGATATTGGTGGTAAAATTCCAAGAACTAAGCAAAGCTTAACAGACTGAAGAGAGAAAGAAAATAGGGAGTTGATTACTGGGACAATATATGAATTCCCTGTTAGTCCCGTAAAAACTAGCTCTTTATTGAATTCCAAGGACGACACCTTGGTGTAGCATTCTTTAAGACAGGTTATTTGTTACATGATTCACAACTCAAGTAACATAAGGAAGCAACAAAAAGTCTTACTTGTATTTCTGCTCCTATCTACCCTATCTATCCCCACTTCCCATTGTCACTTTTACTAATTTCTTGTTCTTCCAGCTTCTTCACACAAATATAAGCAATATTATTTCCCTTTTTACCCAAAAGGTAGCCTGCTACACTCTTGTTCTGTCTTGAAGGGTTTCCATGTCGGCTCATAACTTCTGCATTGTTTTATACCTGCACAGCACTCCACTGTAGAGGTGCAGCATATATTTAACCAGGCCTCTTCTGATAGACTTCGGGTTGTTTCCATGTACCGGTAGAATACACACTAAAGTGGGATTTCTGGGTATTATGGGTTGAATTGTGAAGGTGTACCAAAGTGCTAACCCTCAGTATCTCAGTATGAGACCTTATTTGGAAATAGGGTCACTACAGATGTAATTCGTTAAGATGAGGTCACACTGGAACAGGTTGGGCCCTCATCCAATATGACTGGTGTTCTTATAAGATGATGGCCATGTGAAGACACAGTGGCAGGGAGAACACATTGTGAAGACAAAGGCAGAGATTGAAATTATGCAGCTGCAAGTCAAGGACCACCAAAAAGACTGCCAGCAAACCACCAGAAGCACTAGGCAGAGGCAAAGAAGGATTCCTCTACAGGTTTCAGAGAAAGCAGGACCCTGCTAATCTCTTTTTAAAAAAATTTTTTTGGTTTCCAAAGTTTATTAAAAATCAAAGAATAGAGCCTGGCTGGTGTCGCTCAGTGGTTGAATATTGACCTATGAACCAAGAGGTCATCAGTTTGATTCCCTGTCAGGGCACATGCCCGGTTGTGGGCTCCATCCCCAGTAGGGGGCGTGCAGGAGGCAGCCAATCAAAGTTTCTCTCTCATTGATACTCCTATTTCTCTATCCTACTCTCCTCTTCTCTAAAATCGGTAAAAACATTTTTTTAAAAAAAAAAAAAAACAAAGAACAGAAAACATTACATAAAAATGTAAATTTTAGCTTCCACATTGTGGTCCACACACAAAAATTGAAACATAGTATCTTACTGTTAAACCTGTCGCATGTGGCCACAGTGGCAGCCAGGCCAGTTCATTTGGTTCACCCTAACATCTTGATTTCAGACTTACGGCCTCCAAAACTGTGAGATGAGAAATTTCTGTTAAATTAAGCCATCCGGTTTGTGGTACTTTGTTACTAATATATTAGGTCAGAGGGTAAAGCATTTGTAATTTTGATGGCTGTTGCCAAATTACCCAAAGAGATTGTTCCAATTTACACTTACAATCAGTATATGAGAATGCCTGTTTTCCCACAGACTTAAACAGTGTATCTGGGTTTATGCCAATCAGATAGGTGATTTTAATGTGAATTCTCTCATTATAATGAATTTAAAGCATCTTTTTGTATGTTCAAGGACCATTTGTATTTCCTTTCCTGTAAAATGTCTTCTTCATATAGTTAATCCATTCTTTTCATTTTTCATCTTCAATTTTTTTTAAAGTTTACCTCCCAATTTCTAGGAGCTCTTTATCTATTAAGGAGATTAGTCTTTTGTCTGCATTACGAGTGAAAACATTTCCACTAGTCTGTCATTAACTTTATTTTGTTATTTATTTATTTTGCTACACAAAATGTTGATGCTGGCAAGTTTGCTGGCACTGGTCCAAACATTAGATTAATGAAGTGCTAAACACATTTCGGTTCACAATACGTGTGATTAAAAAAATAAAGTTTATAGAGCACTCATACCCAATCAAGTATATATGGCATGGTTCCTGGAATAACCTCACTGCTTCAGACACTATTTACTGGACAGCTCTCAGTGGGGACTAAGTGGACCACGAAGATGTTATGAGTTAGAGGAAGGATACACAAACACACACACACAAGAGTTAAAGGAAGTGCTGAGGAAAAAATATCAAAAGGAGAGCATAAAACACACAATCACTGAAAATAACTCAATATACTTGAAGTCATTGTTGAATGGCAATAACATTGGAAAAACATAAAGGTAAAGGTATGTACTGCTTAAGAATCATTCTCAAAACCTGAATTCAGAAATTACTGTGTGCTTAAAGAGTTCTGCTGTAAAGTAATTTTAAACAGCATTTTCCAGTGGTGGGAAATGACAGCAGGTTAGAATAAAAGCTTGAGTACAAATCCCAAGTCAAGCCTTTGAGAAAGAAGTTTATCTATGTGAGTCAAAAATTACCTGAGTTTCAATTCCATTACCTCACAGTGGAGATAATTCACATCTACCCTACCCTAAAGCTGCTGGGCTAGGGTAGGTATAAAAGTGCTTAAACTATAAATGCTAAATAATTAGAAGTCACTTGATTATCCAAGAAGAGGAGTTAAATTCAATTTTTTAGAACCCCCAACTATCATGTGATAAATGTGATAGTATGCAATTCCCATACTCCGTAAGAATGTGTGGAAATGATGACTGAGCTTAAGCAACATTGTCACATGCTCAGTACTCCTCTCAAAATTTATCAGAAAAGAGCTGTTTTACAATATTCCCTTTAAATATATGACTTTAAAATTTGGGTACTTTTCAAGTACAGTTTTAGCAGCATATTTTTAGGGGCGGAACATAAGCCAACTAAAATTTTTCTGCACTGAATTCAATTTTTCCACACCATATAGGTCAATTTTCTTCTCATTGTCTCCCCCTATTCTTGGAATCCAGCCAATTTCTTAGCAGCAGAGACAGGAAAACAACTTGAGGAGGCTGTGATTCTACAGAGACAAAATAATAGGTGAGTCATTTATCTTGAAAAAATATATAAATTTTTAATTTTCCAATTCTGAGAGGATTAGGTGTATGATCTGGGCTGTTTATTAAACTTTTTCTCCTTCTATAATACTTTTTTTTTTAAATGTCTTTATTGATTTCAGAGAAAGGAAGGGAGAGGGAGAGAGAGAGAGAAACATTAATGATAAGAGAGAGTCATTGATTGGCTGCCTCCTGCAGCCCCAGGCACGTGCCCTGACCAGGAATCAAAATGTGATCTTATGGGTCATAGGTTGATGCTCAATCACTGAGCCACACCAGCCAGGCTTCCATAGTACTTTCTCAGAATGGGAGACTAAATGTTGGAAGCCACTCTTCTAAAGCAGCATCCTCCCCCTCCCAGGATCTGGCTGCTAATGCAAACATTGACAGCTGTGCTGACCATATTGCTAGCGATGTGAAATATCACCTTTATGATGGACTAAGACTTACAAGACAGTATGACAGATGGAAGAGGAAGGGTAGGGAAAACAAGAGAAACTATGTAGAAAGGTAACGAGAAAAATTCTATAGCAGAGGGAGGAACAAAAAGTCCTCGAAGGCATGGCTCCCGTCTTAGGTTACTATAAAGGCAACCTGGGCTTTTGTGTAAACCAGCATGCTTCAGTGAAGATTTTCATTGTGCATGGACCATTCCGACTGTTTTCCATGCCCTGCTCTGCACTAAAACATCTCCATAATTTACTAAATATTTTTTATTTTAAGCTTTCCTCCTGCTCCCCTTTAGTCAGTTTGCAAAAATAAAAATCCTCTTTTTAAAACTGCTTATTTATTACCAAGCCTTTTTTTTTTTTTTTTGTCTAAGAA